CCACACACCCCATACACCCCACACATTCCTTACAACCTACACATTCCTTACACCCCACACATTCCTTACACCCCACACATTCCTTACACCCCAAGTACCCTGGTACCCTTACGCCCTACACACCCCATACACCCCACACATTCCTTACACCCCAAGTACCCTGGTACCGTGTGTGCCCTATACACCCCACACACCCCACACACCCCATACACCCCACACATTCCTTACAACCTACACATTCCTTACACCCCACACACCCCATACACCCCACACATTCCTTACACCCCAAGTACCCTGGTACCGTGTGTGCCCTATACACCCCACACACCCCATACACCCCACACATTCCTTACACTCCAAGTACCCTGGTACCGTGTGTGCCCTACACACCCCATACACCCCATATTTTCCATACATTCCATACACTCCATGCATTGTGTGTCCCACGCACCCCACACACCACATACATGCCATAATTCCCATACATCCCATGCACCCCACTGCGCTCCCGGCACCCCATGTTACCCATGTGTAACCCACATCCTGTGCCCCATGCACCCCATATTTCCCATGCACCCCAGGCACGTTATGTACCCTATGTACCCCACATGGGCCATGCAACCTGTGCACCCCATGGACCCCACATGCCCCATGCACCCACATGCCAGATCCACCTCACGCACCTCACTTCACCCCACTTCACCCCATATACCTGATGCACCCCACATGCCCTTTGCCTCCATGCACATCATGCACCCCACACACCCCAAACACCAACAACCACCCCATCCTGGGAGCCCCTGAATGGGGGCTGCAGGGTGGATCCCACATCCCGTGGGACCAAGGCAGGTGGCTGTGGGATGTTTTCGCCCGCATTTCCATGAGTGTGCCCATATTTCCATCTGCATGTTCACCTTCCCACTGCCCTCTCCTGGCTGAACTGAGGAACCTGGCACAGGTGTGCACGCACAAGGACGCGAGTGTGCGAGCGCTGTGTTCACCTGCGTGTGTGCCCGTGTGTGCTCACACATCTGCGTGTGCCGTCCCGTGTGTGAGCACTGCTGTGCCTCCACAGACACAGGTTTGCAGCCTGTGGGTTGCACGTGCTGCCCAGCTCCGCTTGAACCCCCTACACTGTGCTCCCGATGAAAAAATGACACGGATTTGGCCGTGTGTGCCCAAGAGAGTGCCCAAGTGAGTGCCCAAGTGAGTGCCCAAGTGAGTGCCCAAGTGAGTGCCCAAGTGAGTGCCCAAGTGTGTGCCCGAGTGCCCAAATGTGTGCCCAAGTGAGTGCTCCTCACCACTGAGATGTTGGCCAGCCCCATGGCTGGCGTGGTGCCGGCGTTGCAGACCACCCCATCGCCCTGGCAGACCCCCATGGCAGCGATGAGGGTGGCGGGGCGCGTGGCCGCCTTCACGTCGCTCAGCCCCTTGCCCCACGCCGCCGCTGCCACCAGCCAGAAGAAGGCAAAGCAGACGGTGACGCAGAAATCCTGCCAGGATGAGAGACTGGGATCAGCTGCCATCCTGGCATGGCGCTGGATTCACGTGTCCCGGGGGATGAGCCTGCCTTACTGTGAAGGGCAGCTTCGTGTTTTCGGTGTACAGGGAATGGAAGCGGAGGTAGAGCACCAGAGCCGCCATGGAGTAGAGGAAGGAGAAGACCCCCAGGGTCACAAAAAACTCAGCGGGAGCGGAGAAATCACCAACGAGGTACAGGGTGCGGGCTTCTGATTCATCCTCACAATTCGGCATCCCAAAGGGAATCTGGTATAACCTGGGATAGAGGGAGGGGGGTGTCAGGGGATGGAGGAGATGGTGGGGGTAGGTGGTATAACCACGCTGGGTTGGTCCCCTGGGAAGGGAGATGATGACAGGAATGGCTACAATAACCAGGCTGGGGTGGTCCCCCCAGAATGGGAGGGATGGATGAAATAGAAGTGCTGGGGTGGTCCCCTGGGAATGGAAGGTTTGATGGGGATGGCTAGAATAACCAGGCTGGGGTGGTCCCCTGGAATGGAGGGCACAGATCCACTGCCATAACCTGGATTCTTTTCCAGGGTCTAATGCCCTGGCAGGGGGCCAGTGGCAGAGGAAAGGGGTTAGAACTGGGACACTCATCTGGCCCAACTCCCATCATTGCCTTCCCAGATAAATCAGGATTCCCCTGGTCTTCCCTGAGTACTGAGGATTCCCCTCCTTCCCCACCCCACTCTTCCGTGACTGACAAGAATCCCCAGGACGGTGTCAGGAACTGAAGGCAGGGGATGTGTCACAGTGCCAGGGTGTGGATGGTCCCCAGCTGAACACGACACTGCAGAGACCATGGCTGCGGTCCCATGGAGGTCCTGCCAGCAGGAAGGGAGTCTAATCCCAACCCAGCACCCCCAGCTTGTCTGGGGCAGTCCTGGGGGGTGTCAGGGCTCAGCAGCCCCTCACCTGAAGGGGTACCCGAACTGGATGCTGATGGCTGTCATCCCTCCGCTGTCACATTTCACTGTGGCTCCGGTCTCTCCGCTGAAGGAGCCGCAGGAGCCGAAGGCGAAGATGGCAAAGAGCTACAGGACAGGGCAAATGGGTCCGGGGGGGTTGAGGCCCTGGGGGGAACCCCTTTCACCCTTGGGGGGTGGGTTGTATCCGCTGGCACTGAGTAATGGGCAAGCTGCCACCCCCCCAGATGCTGGCCTTGGGCACCTCCCTCCAACACTGGGATTCTACTGGCACTGGGATTTGAGGATGGGGGTCATGTTTGGGGGGCTGGGCACACCAAGGCCAAACCCACCCCAACTCCCCCTTAATTTTGGGCAGGGTGAGTGCCAGAGTGGGTTTCCAGACTGCTGGGAACATCCCCATGGCGGGACCCCCAGAGTCATTCCCTCCCCAGGAGCCAGCACTGCCCTTCTTTGCGTTGGAGTCACGCTGCCCTCATCTCTTGGATGAGGGTGCCGGGAAAAGACCATTCTCCAAGTGTTTTCCCACAAATCCTCCTGGCTGAGCTCCCGGCTTCCCGGGTGAAATGGAGAATTTAAGCCGCCGGGCCTGATGCTGCGGGGATGGGCGGCCCCACGTGTGGCACTAAGGGTTTAAGCAGGAGTGTCGGTGGATCCTCCGGGGATTTTCTCCTCGTTTTTGTTTTTGGGCTGTCTTTGCATGTAGGGTCTGATCCCATACGATGGCCTCAATGGCACGGGGAGCCCAGAGCCTCTGTGGGTGGGATTATGCAAACCAAAGAGCTGTAGGATTAGGGGAAACCCCTTCAATCTGGCTCTGCCCTGTGGGAGATGCCCAAAGAGGGATGAGTCCCTCCTGTACCTCAGTTTCCCCCGGGAGCCCCCTGGTCCTGGCAAGGCTGAGCTGCAGAAATGCCACCCTGAAATCCAATCTCACAGGGAGCCATTCATGGCATGGCCAGTTCAGGACAGAGCCGCAGGCACTTGGCTCCCCCCCTGTCCCCAGGGTCCCCCT